ATAGCAAAAGATTTAGCAAATTATTTATCTGAGCTACATTCAACAATGAAGGTGTAATTAAAAGAGGCTCGAGAATAACAAAAGATCAATAGGGATGCGTATTGAAAGGAATAATCTCATTTTCACGTTGGTGATAAGATATAGTTACTTCATTGAATTAATAAATTTATTCGTCCTTGTAATAAATTAAATTACTATAGATTTGGACCATTTTTTATTTTTAAATAAATCAATTCAATTACTTATTAATTATATCTACTGGAGTTTATAAAAATCTATCTTGTATTTTATGTATTTTTTTTGGAGCCTATAAGATAGTGAATATCCTAAAAATAAGATAAATACCATCGCCTCTTATAGAAGTAGATAATAATTAAAAATTCAAGGTGGAAAAAATCTTAGATTAGAGGTGGCACTAACTTAGGTTGGAATATATTATTCATTACTGTAATTACAATATTAGCAAACTCAAATGGAAGCCAAAAAAAAAAAATCTTACAAATACAATAGAGAAGATCAAATTTTTTATCAATAATATCCATTAAAATTAAGATGAAGCATAGAAAATATTTGCTATAAAAAAAACACAATTTAAGATAGATTGCATTTTATCTTCTATTCTTGTATGATCAAAATATGAAGCAAAATATAATTTGCTATATCTTAGACTTCTTCAACATGTGTTCACTACTCTTTGAGGAATTGGCCCTCAAAAAGGGAGGTAATGTTATAAACATATATTTATTATAATTTTTACTTAGGTAATATAAATAGGTAGAAGTAGATGATAGTAGATTAATTTCATAATATCTTATAGAAAATCTTTTTAGAAGCTTCATAGATATTATTTCGACTTTATATATATTTATAGTTGATTGATAGTTTAGAAACTTGGTCAATAAATTAACCATGTGGCACACTTGTTGATAGCTTGTGAAATAAGCTAATTATACGGGGCCTATATAGAAAACTTGTCCTATAAGTCAAGATATGTGTTGTGCAAAATCAACACGTTTTGGAGGTCTTATAAAATGTCGCTTCATCGTTCCTTATTAGATAGTACATATAGAGGCAAGAATGGAACCTTCTTCATTTTTATCAATTCTTTTCTTGATTCTAATCTAATTTTAAGAAATTTCTAATTTTTTTATCTTTTAAAAGTAGTCATTTTAATTTTTTTAATATACATACTTCTTTATTTCTATTTTTGTATACTTCTTTGAGAAATTCTAATTTATTTATTTATTATCATTAAGTTATTTTCCTTGATACTTATACAAAAAGATAATTTTTGGAGAAGAAATGTCAAGACTCTTTTTTGATAATACATATTAATATTATGGCCTATTTGATGATATCATTTCTAATTGAGGACCTTAATTTATATCAAAGTTTTAAAAATCCATTTTTGATATATTAAAAGTGGATATCAAACTTTTTTTTACCTTATATAAAAAAATATTATTTTATGCCAATTGTAATTACCATCCAAAGCTTGATTTTTTAGGTACATCAAAAAATGAAAATCCAATTGTTGAAGATCTTGCAAAATAGTCATCATAGTTCCACATTACTTTGAAGCTTTATTTACAAGTAGTTCAAGATTCTTATAAAGCATCTATAGGTGAATTTAGAAAGATTTTTTTTTTTCTTTTTTAAATTGAAAATAAAGTATGGCTTCTTCAACAAAATATCATGACTAATTGGCCTTGGAATAAATTAGACTATCAATAGCTGGGGCCATTTTATATTAAAAAATAAATAAATATAGTGGCTTATTGGTTGAAACTACCTACATCCATGAAAGTACATCCAAACTTTTATATTTCCTTCTTAGAGGCTTATATAAAATCAACCATTCCAAAGAGAATACAACCATCATTGCCTTATATTGAATTAGATAATCATGTGGAATATGAGGTAGAAAAAGTCATTGATTCTCAATAAAGAAGAATTTAAAATTCTTTTTGATTAATACCTTAGTTTGTTACAAGGTTAACTTAAAGATGCTCTTGCTTCAAAAAATCTCATTGCAATCTAGTAATGCAATCGTGAGAATTGCTCCTTTGAAGTTGAGTAATCCAAACTGCCGCGACGACCAACCTCCTTGACTTAAAAATTTGCTCAAATTCCAAATTGTCTTTAAATCCAGCAAAACTTATGCCTTTCAAAGCTTAGCTTACAAAGCTCAATTATTCCAAAATTACAATAGAATCTAATTATAAGGCATTGAGAAATATCTTCTCAAACTTGATTAATCCAAAATGTGAAGGCAATCAATTCTTTCATATTAAAAATTTTACCAAAAATTCAAATCAACTCCAAATTGAGTAAACCTTGCCTTATTGGAAAGCAAACAAAAAAAGCTAAAATCTTACAGAATTTTACATTAAAATTAAAAGAAAAAAATGATTGATTGAGAGAAATACGAGGCTCTTAAAACCCTTGGAGTACTTAGAAGGCCAAGGAAGCTATCTACCACAATGAAGCATGTTTTAAAATCCAATGACTATCATTCACAACTAAAAATCTATGTACACCTACCCACAACATTCACAATGAGATTTAAAAAATTAAATAAAATTAAGATTAGGATTTTTGGCCAAATTTTGGCATGGCTTCATCCTTCACCAAAAGAGGAAAGAGAGAGGGCTTGGAAAACCAAGCTTCTCTTATACAATTGAGTGGAGGCTCGTGGAAGGGTGGCTATATCTCCACCGTCGATTTCTAAGATTCCTAATCTAAATCTATGGCCTTCACTCACTCAAAAGTTGATTTTGTTATCAAGGCTAATGGCTATTGTAAGTAATCAAAAAAGTAATTTTTGATAAATTTAACTTCACCATTGTATTTGAAACACCTTTTCATACTACAATTGATTACTCACATGCCTCCATCTATGTTTATTTTCAATTTTTATGAAAGTTTTTACCTCTAAAGTTTTTACTTATTATTTTTAAATCCTTCAAAAATAAAAAATTTCAATGTTTCACTTATATGTTGGAGGAGAAGATGCTCATCTTGTTTTCTTCACTCCAAGAGGTAAATCCAATGCTCCCATTGCATTTGAAAATCTCTATTAATTAAAAAAAAATTACTTTGCCACTTGGATTTGTTGAAGTTGAAGAAAAAGCTTCAAAACCGTCATTACTAAACTTCACCAAATCTTTAAGAAAGTTCTAATTCTAATTCACTCTAAAAATTTAATAAAACCAGATTCTACTCATATAAATTCTAATCTAACATGCTCAATTATCATAAAATAAAATCAAATCAAAAAATGAAATTTTGGAGCATAAATGAGAGCTCACATGATGCCATTTGTATCAACATTTGTTGACAAGATAGAACCGTGTCTTGATGCTTTCACAACACATTTAAAGGACATCAACTTCTCCAACAAAATTTCTTTGTTTGCTCCTATATTCATTAAATTAGTAATAGAAGAATACAAGTAGTATCTAACTTATGGCCTTGAAGATCCCACTAAGGTTAAAAATTGCAATGAGACAATCCATATGTCTAATGATATCTTTAAGCAATTTTTAAGTACAATGTTGAGAAGAACAACAAGAATATAGTTGTTGTAAAAGAGTTATATGATACTTATAAGTTGTGGTCAAAGGATATGTTTCCAACAATAAAAATAAGAAATATTTCATCTCTACAATAATATCTAGGTAAGAATTTAAATACCATATACACTATAGATCAAATTTAAGGCATATCCCTAAAATAGGTAATAAAAAAAATCTTTTTTATGTTGTTCAGATATATATTAATAAGATACAATTATTTATTATATTCAAAGCCACTAGCTTCATCTCTTCATATAATTTCTTGTTGTGTTTGTAAATAGAGCTTATGTACTGGTATACATTATGATGTCATGTTCTTTTAATATACTTAATTATCCTTTTCTTGTCTGCAATTTCATCATAGAATGCTTCATAGTATGCTCCAATTGCATCTTTGCATACAACTCCTAAAATAAATCACAAAAGACACGCATGAAGTATTAGCTACATTGAACAAGACATATTAGTATCAATGGATAGAGCATGTCTTCTAAACTTGGTCATCAAAGAAAGTATTTCACTAGTGGACTTGGAAGATAATAATTTCAAGGCCATTTTCTTTGGATACTTCTTTACTTCAAGTTTTTGTTCAGGAAGTCCTCCAAACAAAGACAGCATATACTATCTAGTGAGTACAATGCCTATAATGAACACTTCATCAACTTTGATATTAATACCATACATTATCTGAGGAAGTATATCATCTGAAAAAGTGCTATAGTTCTGTTGACATGCTGCAATACGAGCACTTGCAAGCTGTATCTCTCCATTTTTATATCTTCTATCATACTTATGTTTACTTTCTTGCAAAACCCACACTAGTCGCTCATCCTTTCTTTCTTCTCTGTCACTAAAAGTAGCAAATACTTTATCTACAATTATCATTTCTAAGTGTGAAGAATCATCAAACTATTTCTAAATGTAAAGAATCATCAAACTTGCATTCTTAAAAAAAGGTGTCTACTAAAGCTTGAACATACAGTTCAAACTTGGGGTCTGGACTTTCAGACACTGTTCCTTAGTCAAGATGTTCCTTAATCCTAAAGATTGCTTCGTGGGATGACATCCCTTGAAATGCTACACGGAGTGCGGCCAACTTCAACAAGAAGCATTCCCAGGCACAATTATTCTGCGGAGTGAGCAGGCAACTTGTTTGATGAATCTGAACAGATCAAAGCTGTGGCCATTCTTGTTCATCTGCATTGATACCATGCAGGATGAATGACTGGCCATCTGATCACTGCATCAGAGAATATTTAATAGGGTGTTATGGGGATGTGCAGCTCAGCTTCGTTGTATCAGGACCTTTTCGCACTGCCCACCCTTAGTGTACTGGAGACGTCGCCACTCAGCTTATATAATTAACTCAACCAAGCAGTAACCACTTGCCAGCTCTATGCAAAATTCCTTATAAACTAACAGCACTATGTGGTGTTCGTCGTTCCACGACCTGTGTAATCATTTCGAGTTCGATGGCAGAAACGACAGAGAGCAAGAAGATTGCATTTCTCCTGTATAAACTTCTGTGTTCCATGCTTACTGCAAGGTTTTGGTGGAAGGCCTGCATTAGAAACTTATTTTGTGTTTCAGCAACTTCTATCTGTGCCAGTCGAACCTTCACAATAATGGATAGTGGCGTCTGTCAAGGTGACAGGCATACCATGGAATTGTTCTACACTCTCACTTCAAAACCTGCACATCAAGACGGTATCAGATTGACAAATTCCTCCATACCGCACTGCCAGGCGCTCCAGACTCCTGAAACCGTGGAATAATTGTGTTATACTCGATACAAATCTGCAAGGCTATTAATACTCTCCAGAAGAACTCACAGCCTTATGTCGTGGAAGTTGGAACTAGGGTTATGGTGACAGACTTGGCCACAATATGTATGTGTATATATATGTGTGTGTGAGTGTGTATATGTATGTATGTATAAAGCACTGATGAACCACGCACTCTTTTTCGTAGTAAGTCACCGTGGACGAGTCACGGACGACGAGGTTTCTAAAGCCCGATCGCGTTGCATACTCGTAGCCCTGCATGTGCTCGTTCAATCTGTCGCAAATCTGACATGATATGTTAAGTGACTAGTGTCTGAATTCTTTCTGATAGACGGTACGGATCGTAGACGACTCTAGGGGTGATGGCGACGTCATTTGCTGCTAGCTTGGGCTGTTATGCCTGTGTGCTTGTAATTCTGATGACTGTTGCAGATTGAGGAGTGTTTGGAATTCGCGACCTAGGATTCTTGGTGAGCTCAAAAACGGCCGTAAATATTTCATCGGAGATGTTGGCTCTGATTCCAGCTCTGGTCATATTCGGGGATTCCACCGTGGATGCAGGCAACAATAACTACTTGACAACCATCGCCACAGCCAACTTCGTGCCTCACGGCGAAAACTTCGAGGGGGTGAGCCCACCGGCTGCTTCTGCAATGCACTCCTTACACCGGATTTTATTGGTAAGCCTCTGCCAGCTCGTGCTGTGACTTTTGCAGGCAAGTACATCTCAATAGCAAGTCTTTAGAGGGCACTGTCATTGCATTGCACTGCTACTCTTCAAAGCAACGACGTCAGACTTATCACGCGGAGTTTTATTTCAATCTGTGTGAAGTGGAGAAGCAGTCACATTTGGCATTCAAACTTTCTTTTGCCGACACAGCTCTAATATGCAATTAACTGAGACTCGATCGAATCCTGGTGACGCGTACATCTCTCAAGGTTGGGACCCAGATTCAGCTTACATTCTTGTCCCCAAAAGCACATGGTGAAGCTATTCGTACTGGAGTCAATTTTGCATCATCGGCAACCGGATGGTGGGACAACATCAATCACAATGAAATCAAAACAGTTTCTTAGAGTGTCCTGGTGGTTTGTTACAGGGTTCAAGTATGGGAGACAAGGATGATGCGGGACAGGTGACCTTGAATCGGCACATCTGTGTAACAGAGCTGTGCCATCTTGCAGCAATCCGAACGAGCATCTCTTCTGGGACAGCTTTCATCCCACTTCCCACTTCCACAGCCAGTTAGCCGACTGCATGGTCGATTCAGTAGTACCCATTCTTCTCGCCCCGCCCACACCCTAGATTCCCAAACAAACTCTCCATTTGAGTCGGCAAGCTTGCTATTTCCCTCAAGTATTTTGCTGCAATCTTTTTTCGGCAGCCATCTGTCCGTGCAGGTGGCCATCTGCCCAGCTTCAGAGCTTGTGGGTGATGATCCATCTAGTGAGTAGTGAGACGACACTGCAACGTTGACTGGAAGATGCATAATCAGCCACCCCACAGTTAGTTTGTGGACTGAACTACTCCAGGTGTAGAATCTGTGAACCGCGGCAATCTCTGGGGATGGGCTCCTCTAGATCAACGCAATTGGCGTTGAAACACTCAGTGAAGTGTTCATGGCCTCACGGTGACTTCATGATATAGTCAACCTTGTTAGACAGTTACCGAATCACATAAGACTGCTCCGTAAAGTCACACCGTTTGGGTGTGACCTTGGAGAAATAATTCTACAAATCCCTGGGTTACACAAGCATATTTGTAATGCTTTATTTATTCAGTGTAGTTACGGTTTTTCAGACTTAGAATGGTATCAGAGCTGGCGCTGTTCTGCCAATACAATTTTATGTTTTCTAAATGATATATTTGAAACTTTCTTGTTGGAGTTACTTCAACCATTGTGACATCAATTTCAGTCGTTGTTTTTTCAGACATATCAAGTTATGTCAATGAGTGCACAGAACTTTTGAAGGAACATGAGCAATTGAAATGCTCTTTGCTTGTTCTACCTTATGGAGTATTGTAGATAATATTGAAATTTCTTCAGGATCAAGCAATCTTGGATAGCTTGTTTTCTGAACTTTGAAATATTTTAAACCAAAGTGGGTTATATTATTTGCATTGCGGTAAAATTTAACTTCTGTCCTTTTGCCCATTGGTATTTTTATATATAAATATATGTATCATTTTATGAAAAATTAAACAAACCCTTTTGAGCAATTGTTTTTTGTTATATATATAACAGAAATTGACTATGGTTTATCTTCATAAACTTTCTACATTGATTTGCAAATTAAGATCAAAGAAAATTGTGCTGAAAATGTCACAAGATAACTCTTAGGATTAAAAGTGTAAGTTAAAATAATTAAATAATTAGATAATATTTTTTAAAGAAAATATTTGATTTAAATAAATGTTGAGTGTTTAAATAGATAAATAGTATTTTACTTTGTGTTCTTTACTTAGAATTATAAAATAATATAAGATAATATAAAAAAATTAACTTAGTTTAGATTAAATATAAAAAAGATAAAAACTTGGTTTATTAATTTACATATTTATTAGAGATATCTTTTATCACTTACTAATTTTATATAAAAAATTAATATATAAAGAATGATGCCATTTTTTTTTATTCATTATAAATTTTTTTTTTTGAATATTAGGCAAGTATTTATAAATCCAAATAAGAAGATATAATATAATTAAATTTCTTTATTAATAAAGATATTTTAAATTGATTCATTACATAAATTCTATTTTATATTAATTAACAAGTGTATCATCTTATTTTATAAGACCAATATGTTAAAGAAATAAGCATAGCAAATAAGAAAAATTCCAAATTAGATTAGTAAAGAACAACATATTATATAAAGTTAGATCAACCACCTTTGAAGGAAACAATGATTAGAATATATGGCAAACACAATTTGCCGCATCTTTGATTTCTTCAACATATGATAATTGCTATTCATAGAACTTATTTCTAAAAAAGGAGATAATATGATGGACATACATATCTAGATAAGAAATATTAAGTAAAAAATAAATGTAGGTAGATTTGATATTATCTTGTGGCAAAGCTTCTTAGAAGCTTCATAGAGGCATATTTTATTTTACACATGTTTATAATTGTTTGATAGGTTAGAAACTTGACCAACAAGTTAGCCATGTATCATACATTTGCATAGCTTGTGGTATTAGTTAATAATGTAAAGCATATGCATAGCTTCTGGTATTAGCTAATAATGTAATGTATATACAAGAAACTTGTCTTGTAAGTTAAGACATGTGTCTTAAAAATTAGATATATATTATAGGTTCTATAGAATGTTACCACGTAGCTTCTAATAAAATAATATATATGGAAGTAAAGGTGAAGCCTTCTTCTCTCTTGTCAATGTCTTTCTTGTCCTTAGTCTTATTTCAAGACTTTTTAGTCTTCTTAATTTTAGCAATAGCTATTGTAGTTTAATATTATACCATCTTTGAATAATTTTCTAATCTTTTTAAATGACACAAGAGTATATTGAGCTTTTAGTTTTTTGATATTTGTGCCCTTGAAAAATTGTTGTAAAACAAAAATTCTAACACACATTCTAATTTACTCTAGAACTAAAATTTCGCCAAATGACAAAGGCACTTGGCACCCTTCATGACTACAAAGAAGGAAGAATTTAAACACTAATATTTCTTCTACTGCAATACCTCTAAGGCTTAAAAAAACCAGCAATGAAAATAAAAAAAGAAAATATTATGAAGAACATTGCTACTATACTTATTACAACAAACAAGAAAATATAAGAAAAAATCAATGAAGAAATCCTTGACGCTTAATCAAAGTTGTGAGTTAAAATAAACCTCCACTAGTTGGAAGTTTATTTTAATTCACAACAAGTAAATTAACTATGCAACTTTCATAAGTTGTAGTTCTTATATAAATTCTAATTAAATTACTCTTTAATTTCTTTTTAACACCAAAATCTCTACCATTAATTTACACTTACAATATCAATCTACTCACAATATGCATGTCCAAAATTCTTTTTTAAAATTTTTATTTTAATTTTTTTTATTTTAATTATTATTCATTTATTATTATTATTATTTTATATATAAATTTTTATCTATTAATAAAAAATCATATAAGTATAATATTTCATTCAAATATAAGATTTCATCCAAATATATTTTCATCCAATTTTAATTATTCATCCATTAACATAATTCAATCCTAACTCTAATTCTTCAACCTAATTAATTCTTTTGGAGTTCTTATGGAGGAGAAAGGGATGTGACTTGCAAACAACTTCACGCTTCCTAATAGACCCTTTAGTCCTTTGTGACAGTATTTTTTCTTTTGCAAAAACCAAATTTCACCTTATGCCTCGAATAGGTATCCAAAGATGGGTGAATTGACATTCCGCCTTCTACGGAGCATCACAACTACAATATCAATGCTTTATGGCAATTCCAATTTATAAAACATCATTGCTGGATTAGTCTAGTGATGATAAACTTTGATACTAGCATAGTATAATGTTAAGACATACAATACCATAATAGTTGAATCCGATGGTGCAAGCAAACAATGCCAAAGTTGATTGTCAACTCAATATACGGAATCACAAACCCACTAACGTAAATCCACTGAAGGTGGTGTACCAACCTCCAATGGAGAAGGGAAAAAATGAAATTGGGACTAAGATTGTTGTGTACTTCAAATAGCAAGAAATCATGAATACACCTTGATCCTTCTATGACACTGCCATAGAAAAAGAACAACTATTGATCACCTTTGACAAGAATGTAAAGCACACACTGCTTTGTGACTAGAATATTCAATCTACTGCCGCAATGCACTTACTCCACAAATCCATAGTAGCTGACTCTAGTAGTTGTCATTTTTGGATTCAAGAATTTCTTTATTTTGAACATCGTTATTCAAACTACCTTTTAAGTTCTATGTTACTACTATTACATAAGCAAATTACTTCTCATTATAATTGAGTCCACTTACAATATATACTACAATATAATAATATTTTTTATAAGTGCGCCAATCAATCTTTTACTTAACATGACCAATACCATGACCTATCAATCAGATCTACCTACAACTCAAATAATGCAACCTTATACGACAACAAGTTAGTTTCTAAGTTTAAGCTTTGTAAGCCTCAGCCACTAAGTCCTAAAGATAACACTCTAGGTCTAAGAAGAAGAATTCTATACAAGTCCTATGAAAATTTCATAATTGCTAGTAAGGTGATTTGGTTTGTTGCACATTAAGGAATCTTAAGCAGCTCTATAGATTATTACAAATGGTAACAATAGCACTACCAATTATTGTCACGGGCATATGCATGTAAGCTAGTAATTACATGTATAAATAGGTAGAAGTAAATAAAAGTAGGTAAAAATAAATTAATTCTATAATATTTATTATGGAAGCTTCTTAGAAGCTTTATAGACACTACTTTGACTTTATAGATATCTTTAATTGATTTTTTGGATTAAAAAAGTGGTCAATAAGTTGGCCATGTGCCACACATATTGTTAGCTTGAAGACCAAGCTAACTATGTGGCCCACACATAGAAAAACTTGCCTTGTAAGTCAAGGCATGTGTCTTACAAAGTCAACACATATTGGAGGTCTTATAGAACATTGCCACATAGCCGCTAGTTAGATAGTATATATAGAGATAAGAGTAAAGCCCTCTTCACTCTTGTCAACTCCTTTCTTGCTTTTAGTCTAGTTTCAAGGGTTTCTACTTTTCTTGTCTTTTGGCAATAGCCATTCCAATTTCTTTCTTAATATATATATATATATATATATATATATATTGAATTATTTCTATTTTTTCATCTTTCTTTGAAAAAAGTCTCACTTGTTTATTTATTTTTATCAAGTTCTTATCCTTGACAATTGCTTCATGTTGAATTTGCCAAAGTAGTACGTGATCTTTATGACAATACAACCGCTAGGAACAAAAAGGAAATAATATGCATTATAATGTAAATGACTATTTACTAGTTAGACTATGACTTTGAACCATCAATCTAGCACTGCAATGTCATTAGAACAATATCCATTCCAGCCTCTCAACAAGATCAACAAACCACACAAGGAAAACAAAGTTAGTACTAAATATTACCACAACATTATACTAGTGCATAGAACATCAAATATTAAAGGAAATAATACACATTGTGATGTAAATGACTACTCACTAGTTATGAAATATGATTGATTTATCTTGAGACTCTAAAATCCTTCTAATCTATAACAACATAAAATCTCATCACAAAGTTGGATAAAATAGAATAAAATAAAATTGAACAAAAATAAAGAGAATAGGATACAAAAGACAAAACCAAATATACAGAAATAGAATAAAATAGAATTAACCATGAAGATGCAAAACCAAACTTTACTAAGAGAAAAGGTCCAAAGCTACACCAGGCCATCCATCCAAAAGGTCCTAGCTAGTCCTATTTATATTTTTTTCTACCACCCTGGACTTTCTAAAATGTTCCTAGATAATAGACCTTACTTAGATAACTGCCTTAAATTCTTTCTAGAAAGTTTTATCGTAGCTCCTATCTAAATAATTGTCCTAAGCTCTTTCTAGAATGTTCCACAATGGATCCTACATAGACCATTAAGCTAGCTCTAATTCTAAAAATTTCTGTAACTTTTCAAACATAGTTCCGTCTATTTATCTCTATGTGTCAATAATACAAATATCTTATTTATATCTTGGTACAAGTTAGACTATGACTTTGAACCACCAATCTAGTATTGCAATGCCATTGGAACAACATCCATTCTAGCCTCTCAACAAGATCAATAAACCATACAAAGAGAACAAAATTAGCACGAAAGATCACCACAATACTGTACTAATGCATGGAACATCAAACATGAAATATCAAACACAAAAGAACAATAGTAAAGTACCAACCATATTATAGATATAGGTGATCTTGCCATCGATGTAGACATTACTATAATCAAAGGCGGCTCTAACTTGTCACATAAAAAAAGAGTAATTGAATTGCCTAGACTCGCAACTTTGATTTGTTTGTCATGTAGTAATACAATTATATAGTAAAAAATAAAAATATAGATGTTATTATAGAAGAATTTAGTAGAAATATATAGTAAAAAAATGAAAATAAATGATAGAAAGATTGTAAAAAATCTAGTCTTAATACTATCTTTTATAAAAAGAACTTCTATTTACTTTATAGAAGCATAAATGAGCCAAAAAAATGAGCTAAGAAATTGATTTAATCTAGAATTTGATCATAATTGCTTTTAGTAGCTAGGATCTAACTTATCTAAAATTCACTAAAGCTGAAAGATGAAGCTATACATTGATTTGTGCTAATTCTTTTTTATTTCTTGAAGTTACTTTGTAAGTCAATCTTACTATCAAAAACAATAAAAAATCTTACATAGCCATAAGTTGTTTCCAATTATTTTGGATTTTGGGATTCAATTTGTGAAACCAATTACATGCCAAATAAGTGAAATACTAAGCAATCAGGTATACCTTGTCTTCTATGATGTTTTTGACTTTGCATATAGCTTTAGAATAATTTAAAAAGCTTTGGAAGCTTTTTGTAATCCTCTTAAGAAATTGATTACACTAGTATAGATGTAATAGTGATTCTCTATTCTTCTTCTTCATTAAGTTTTTACTTTGACAGTTGTAAGAGACTATGATTATAATATAATAGGTAAAAGGTGCCATATCTTTTGAGAATTAGCTGCAAATCTAATTGCCTTGGTAGCACATATTAGATTAGACTCCATTGAATCTCTCAAAGTTTTTTCTCTTCAAAGCATTGGCATTGCTCTTCCTACTTTAGGAGCAGCTATAATATATAGAGATCAATTATTCATAAAATTAATGTTGTCAAACCTCATTAAATATGATCAAATATTGTAAAACACTATTATAGATAAAATACACAAAAAATATTGATAACTATGTGATGAAAAAATTTAATTAAAATTAAATAAAGAATAAATCAGCACTTTTAAATATCTCATAAAATTAAATTATAGGTATAAAAAGAAAATTTAAAAAATACTAGAGTAGTAAAATTCCACAAAAAGAATTGATTATTTTCATAATTATACAAAGACATCATTATGTATATGAAAGAAACAATAATAACTATGTGTTTATTATTGTGCTTGTTAGAATGGAATTATTGATGTGAATGACTTGTAGCTAATCATCAAAACTAATCAATGCATTAGGTACACATTCTTTTATTATTTAACAAAAAAAACAAACAAACAAAAATTCACCTCACAATTTCCCCTTTTATTTCAAGGATTTTGTGAAAATTCATTCACCAACCCATTTGCACCCTCCATTCGCAACCGAAGTCCTTTTGTTTTTTACTTTGGGAACTTTAACTTTTTGTATGTATTGCTCCTTTTCCATGGGAACGGCGCCCATGCTCCCAGAGCCTATCCGCGCGGTGGGGGGGGGGTGGTTCTTGGCCAGGAAGGCGTCGCCGGAGTGGCGCAGGATGCTGGCTCCTTGTACGGTGCGAGGGAACGAGCGAGGAGGGAGGAGGGTGCCAATGATTGAAGTCCGCCCGTCGCTCCTGCGCCTCTGGTGCCCCATCGGATGCGCTCCATTGCTATTTTAGATTTTTTCCGAGAAGGACACTCGCTCTTCTTTACCATCGGATTTGGATCTATTTCTGGCTTCCGTTCTGCCACCGTCACTTTTTTCCAGCCTCCAGCGCCACCCAATTCTCCAGAGTTAAGTTTTGATCGACAAAGGATTCCACCTCAAGGCCCTTCGAGACTTTCTAGATCCCCCACGCCCAGGCTTGCGCAGCACCGTAAGCCATTGTGGTGGTCGTGAGACCGGTCCCTAGTGTTGGAGAGTGGAAGCGATGGCGGATACGAACAAGACTGTATCGCCCCCGAGTGTGGACGCCGGGAAGGCTACCGCGACGGTATGGACCGCCATCAAGCCGTTTGTGAATGGTGGGTTGTCGGGTATGGGTGCGACGTGCGTGATCCAGCCCGTGGATATGATCAAGGTGCGTATTCAGCTGGGTCAGGGAAGTGCTTTGGTGGTGGCCAAGAATGTTATTGCGAATGAGGGGTTTGGCGGACTGTACAAGGGTTTGTCCGCTGGGTTGCTGCGGCAAGCTACTTACACGACTGCGAGGCTGGGGACGTTTAGAATTCTGACTAATAAGGCTGTGGCGGCGAACGAAGGGAAGCCTTTGCCATTGTATCAGAAGGCCTTGTGCGGGTTGACAGCCGGTGCTGTTGGAGCCTCCGTGGGCTCACCTGCAGATCTTGCCCTAATCCGGATGCAGGCGGATGCTACCCTCCCCGAAGCCCAGAAGCGGCACTACAAGAATGCCTTCCATGCCCTCACCCGGATCTCCAAGGACGAGGGTGTGTTGGCCCTGTGGAAGGGAGCTGGCCCCACTGTGGTGCGAGCCATGGCATTGAACATGGGTATGCTTGCCTCTTATGACCAGTCTGTGGAGTTCTTTAGGGACTCTTTGGGCTTCAGTGAAATTCCCACTCTCGTCGGCGCCAGTGCGGTGTCTGGGTTCTTCGCATCGGCGTGCAGCTTGCCATTCGACTACGTGAAGACGCAAGTGCAGAAAATGCAGCCGGGGCCAGACGGGAAGTACCCATACACCGGGTCTGTGGACTGCGCGTTGAAGACACTGGCACAGGGAGGACCTTTGAAGTTCTACACCGGATTCGGAACGTACTGCGTGCGAATTGCGCCGCATGTTATGATGACCTGGATCTTCTTGAACGAAATCCAGAAGTTGGAGAAGGCGTATGGTTTGTGAATTAGTCTTCAAATCACCAATGTTCGGTTAGTTACATCCATGCATGGTGCCTTCAGTGCCTGATTACTTTCTCCTACTTTTGGTTACCTGAGATTTACAAGACTGGTCCCTAGAAGTTTGTGCTGTTAGATTTAGATTTCTAAGTTTCTCATGTCAAGGCAGTTTGTGATGCTTGTTAGGGCACTAATACTAATGTTGGAGGACTTGGGAGATGTTTTCCCTTTACTGTGGGGCTTTGACCGTATACGTACATGCTTCTCTGGATTTGGGACGTTGTTGCTTAAATGATCATGTGTAGGGGATAGAATAAAGCGATTTTTAGTCATGATTGCAGGTCGATCACCATTTTGAGATGTGTTTGTACATCTGCGACTTGCTCTGTAATTGCTATCTGCATATGACTAGGTGTCGGGGTAGAGTAGGGAGTGGGTGGGCAATTGGCCTTCTGTAGCTCACCTCCAATTCGTTACTGAACATCTTGACCACCACCCACCTTCTTTGCGCGGAAGGAGAGTGGTCTGTATTTAAGAAGAAACCAAGAGTACCACTTTTGATCCATCTATGTGCACCTTACTCTGATGGTTTGGCTCTTACTTGTGTGTCAATTCTTTCAGTATATCGCATTCGTGGCATCTGCTTTTCCTTATGATGTGTGCAGCCTATTTTCTATACTAAACATCAAGATGTAATTTTGTGTTCGAGTTGTGGAGAACATGTGGAGGAAACAGATTGGTAACATAATGAAAAAAAATTAGTATCTACCTAATTTGCGGGCACATTTATGCTTTCTTCTTTTTTCAACAATGCTGCAGCGATATGTGCTCTTGTTACCCAAGATTAGATGGTACGCCTTCTTCTGAATAATCTGGTCAGCATTTAACGGCTGATGCTAAGGAATTTCTATGATCCATGTAATGCTGCAACAAGATCATTTGTTTTGACTTCCGTTTCCCAGGTGGTTTGGGTCAAGTGTGACTTCAACTCCTGAAAGCATAATGGAATCAACTTAGGAATGTCGCGGCAGTCAATTTCGTCAGCGCCAAGTCAGATTGTTTCAAAGATCTTCCACCCTCTCCCGATCTTTCAACTGGCTATGGTTTCTTCGCTAGACCACCATGACATTTAGGTGCGCCAGGAATTTACTTTCAAAGTCTTTTACAGTCCTCTGATTCCGAATGACGGGCTGAGAACCAGGGATTTCGGTTCGTGATCTATCCGCCTTCGCCCACAATCGCAATCAGCACCATTTATGTCTGAACCAATTGCACAGATGCAACAACATGCTTCAGAAAATCCTCACAGGACCGAAGAAGCGGCTGAAGCTCTTGACAAGATGGTTAGATGTCATCTTTTGTGACCTGTAACGTGGCTTGGCTGTTGTTCAACGCCATGCATGCAGTCGAATCATCCAACACTTGGCAGCTGAAAATTTGTAGAATAATGTTGTGATTTTGAAGTTCACAAGAGCAACTGATTGGGCATTTAAAAAGAACTTGACTTTATTCAGAATTAAATCAAGTGTCAATTTTTTCCCATTAAACAAAAACATCTAAATGCATTAATTTTTGTTCTTACCAATTGAAGAATTTTATAAGCAAATCTTTCAGCCTAGTAAAAATAAGTAATACATCCATATTTATATTAAAATATTACACATATTATGTCAGTGTATATAGATATCAAGCTTTATTTCTATAGATTTGAAATTTTGATATGCATATAAATGCATCTAACATTGTAGTAGGTGTTTTGCTTATCTAAAACTCAAACTGAAAAGACATACCAATTTATAATCTTGTTTTGAATATAAATTTGTAAGTCTTTCTAAAACAATTTACATTACTGAAGATTTATTGAAAATGTTCTAACTTATTGGCATTTAGCAAGAAGTTTAAAAATAAGGTTATTTAAAGAACATTATTTCATTTATATATATATATATATATATATATATATATATACTATTTTCTTTCTACTTGCTTAGTTAACTAATCGTGATATTTTATTTTATATGATAAATTTAATTATTTGAATAAAATCCATTATATTACAAAATCCAAAATTTCTAACAACATAAACTGATTTATTTAAGACTAGATGTCCAATAAATAAGATAAAAAAAGTTGACACAAGTTTAGACTTAAATGATACAAATTTATTTTCAAAAGAGTAAAGTAAATTCTAAAACCCATAAAACTTAATACTACTCTTGTATAATTTAATTTCTAATTATGAATAAAATAATTTGTTGTATTAATATTTACTATCAAAATACTAAAATATATATTGAATACTTTAATGTTAAGTTTAATCAAAAATTTTAATTACCAATCAACACAAGGGAATTGCAAAAAAAAAAAAAAAGAAAGAAAAAAGTGTAGAATATATAATTTCCAAATAAAATAAAAAATGACTAAGTAGATTAATTAATAAAATTAATTTTGAAATTTTTACAAATTTTAATGTACATAATGAGGTCACATTTAGCCATTAAATACTATCAAAGAGAAGAAGAATAATAGTGCATTGTATTTATTTTCAAAAAAACATGAATTTCACCTATTTGTATCAGGAACCCCCACATTGCCAAGATACATACATATTTCACTCAATTTTATACAAACTTCTCAATTCATTACATTTTTTAACCTATGTCATAATTTGAGTTACAATGATTATGCCAAATATCAGAATATATTTATATCTAGGCTTAATTACAATCCCAATACTTTTACCCATTTACCCTATTACATCATATTCTAAGAAGCTTCTATCAGAACTTTTTATTAACTTTTTACATATTTTCTAAAACCTTATGCATACAAATAATTTATGTTTTTTTATAGAATCTACAATCATTTCAATAAATGCATCAGTTTTATTCAATAAGGATAACTATTATGCTATTGTATTAAAAAAATAAAGGTAAAACTAAAAATTATTTAGAATTTTAAACTTGTCTTCTTATTTCTGCTATATACATTAAAAATATACATATATAATTTTATTTCTTTTTTGTAGAATGCTCTAAATGTTTTTTTAGGTGTTCATAAAATAATAAATAAATAAACAAGTAGCATGAAGTTTCAAGAAAATTACTCTTATTTTTTTATATCAAATTTTACAAATATTTTTTTCTCAACGATATATCAAGTATTATAAATATGTCTTTAAATTTTATTTTCATATTGTTTTTTTAAATAATATTTTTCTAATCATATGTAATTAAATATTAGAAAGGTTAGAAAAATTATGTTTAACTTACATGTAATTTAAGGAAGTCATTTTTATTTTTATTTTTATAACGAATATATTTTAAGCACGAAATTATACCATAGAAAAATTATCATTCTGCCTTCAAACATATGAGGATCCATATAAGTCATGGATAGCTGCATTTAATCTTGAGAATAGATTGACAGTGACTTTCACATACTTGTAGATTAACAACATAGCGAGTGGGAATTCCTAGACCCATGCAAACTGTGTAAATGTAGGAATTCACTGATTCAAGCAACGGATTCGTCACGAGACGTGGGTCACGAGGAGGATGATGATGCAAAGGTGCGGCACAATCTCCTCCCCCTCGCGACGACGACGACGAGGGAGGATGCTTGTCATCTCCCCGCCTGCCAGCTTGCCTTGATCGTCGACCCCGAATGCGCTTGGAACCATGGCAGACACGATAATCACGAATAGAGAGAGAGAATCATGCTCGGAGGAGATAGCTGCGGAAGGAAGGAAAAAAACACACTAGACCAGCATCAATAACAACAACAACAATAACATCTCCCTTGAACATGGGACCGCCCGATCTCAAACCCGCCCTTTGGCTCTTCGACCTCGTCGTCAGACTACTGATTCCATGGGCTGTGAGGGAATCTAGTGCTCTGGGATGATCGTTCCCCATGTGCTCGCTCGTCTTCTAGTAGAAGAAGTCCCATCACCTGGCGTTTCTCAGATATGCAGAAACAGATCTCCCGGGATGATGGTGGTAGTGTTGATCATGCGAATAGCTTTCTGGTGTTTATAGCACGGAGCTTGGGAGTGAGCAGAGTCTCGATCTCGACATTCAGGCTTCGTCGTGAGATTCTTTTGTGGTTGGAGACCGGCAGAGACTGAACGATGGCTGCGCTTGACGCCACGAAGTCGCAAGCGCCCCCAGTGGCGACCGTAGGCACTGGGAAGGCAACGTCGACAGTGTGGACGACTATTAAACCATTTGTGAATGGTGGGTTGTCGGGAATGGGTGCGACGTGCGTGATCCAGCCCGTGGATATGATCAAGGTGCGTATTCAGCTGGGTCAGGGAAGTGCTTTGGTGGTGGCCAAGAATGTTATTGCGAATGAGGGGTTTGGCGGACTGTACAAGGGTTTGTCCGCTGGGTTGCTGCGGCAAGCTACCTACACAACTACGAGGCTAGGAACGTTCAGAGCGCTCACCAGCAAAGCCATTGCAGCCAATGACGGGAAGCCTTTGCCATTGTATCAGAAGGCCTTGTGCGGGTTGACAGCCGGTGCTGTTGGAGCCTCCGTGGGCTCACCTGCAGATCTTGCCCTAATCCGGATGCAGGCGGATGCTATCCTCCACGAAGCCCAGAAGCGGCACTACAAGAATGCCTTCCATGCCCTCACCCGGATCTCCAAGGACGAGGGTGTGTTGGCCCTGTGGAAGGGAGCTGGCCCCACTGTGGTGCGAGCCATGGCATTGAACATGGGTATGCTTGCCTCTTATGACCAGTCTGTGGAGTTCTTTAGGGACTCTTTGGGCTTCAGCGCAACGCCGACTCTCCTCAGCGCTAGTGCGGTGTCTGGGTTCTTCGCATCCGCATGCAGCTTGCCATTCGACTACGTGAAGACGCAAGTGCAGAAAATGCAGCCGGGGCCAGACGGGAAGTACCCATACACCGGGTCTGTGGACTGCGCGTTGAAGACACTGGCACAGGGAGGACCTTTGAAGTTCTACACCGGATTCGGAACGTACTGCGTGCGAATCGCTCCGCATGTTATGATGACCTGGATATTCATGAACGAAATCCAAAAGTTGCAAAAGAGGTCGGGGTGGTGATGACGATGACTTAACGATTTTACGGGCCTGGAAGCTGTTGCTGATATTTGATCAAAGTGAGGTGTAGATTTATGAGTGCAGGTTGATCGCGTTTCTGAGATGTGGTCGTAGTTCTGTGACATGCTCTCTAATTGCCTTCTCCTGCACATTTTGACATAGATGGTTGTTTCCTCCCAAAATTGGAACCTTGAGAAAGAGAAAATGTCTTCAGGGCGGCAGGACCATATTCTGCCTTGTGTGCATCAGAATTGAGTGATTCGGAAAGGATTAAAATGCCGTTCTGATCACTTCTTCTATGTGTGCACCTTGAATTGGGTTTTTTTGACAGCTTCTTTCTTAGAATTAGAGTGTTTCACTCGCAGCAATGACTACGATACATCAGACGTACCACGTTCTTTGGATGGTGTGTTACGAAATGTTCGGAGTTGAAAAGGTTATATAAATTTGGGTCTGTTGCGCAAAACAAGTGTGCTTATAATCAATGAAGGCAGAACGACTTCGTGTTGGAACCTATACAACTTGTTGAACGTAGTTAGTGGATAGCTGACAGCAGTTCCAGCTAGAAAAGACTACAGTAACTGTTGCAAACAATTTCGAGTGCTCAATTTCTCGGTGATTGAGCACAACCAATTATTATAAGAGATAAAAGTTCAAGCGTTCTTTGTTACATACATTTTATACATTAGTAATTAGTTATTAATACATGTTGTAAAATATTATTAATCATTCATGATTCTTCATACTATTAATCCTTTATTAGATAAGATTATTACTTCATAGCATTAAATTGTTTCGTCCCCAAAGACAACTCACAAGTTATTTTTAATCCATATTACGTGGACACAAACTCAATTATATTAAAAAAAACCCAGCCAAATGAACTTCCAATTTTTTTTGAATTGAAAGCATCGAGGGTAAAGAAACCATGAACCTGCTACTAACCCTTATGTTAATTCCAGTTGTATTTGTATATATTCAAAGATGAAGCCCATCTTCAAAGTTGCTACTGGGTTCCAGCACAAGAGAAAAGCCTACAAAAAATTAAACTATTCTTTCCTCCATTACCCTACTAATGGGTAACTAATAAGGTCTACTGCAAATCTGAATGCAATATGATTTACCTCTCAATGCCAAGCCACTTACAAAACCATGGATGGCATACCACTGATACTGCTATTGCTGTAATGTTGACTAAGAGAGCAACTTCAAAAACGATTGATGATCATTAAGTTTTTTAAGGAAACAAAGACTCAGTACACTTATTCACACATATCGCTCTATTTAGTTAGAGAACATTTTGAGATGCAACTACTACATTTACAATCAACTTTGCCCACAACCAAATCAGCCAGAAAATTTGACAAACTGAGGATTGATCAAGAGCATCAAACATGACCTCTATATCATATTTTAGCACCATGTAGTAAGAATACGGGAAAAACCATAACTTTTATACAGGAATACATTGGTAAGTGTGCTTTGTGCACAGTATGTGCTGTACGAGAGAATACTGATGTATCCCAACTCATGTCAGACACTACTCTCACACGGCTGATTGAAAATTGTCAATTGGAGCAGGCATTTATCTTACACTCGACAAGATGAATCAGTCTGAGTCCTCGTGAGCAGTCTTTTCTGGAAGACATATATGGTCTCCTGATGACATTGCATACACCCGTGGTCGTCAGAGCAGTTTCGAATTTACAATATGGCAAGAATTTCCCATTAATCAATGAAATATAAAGGGCAGGGTACTTAATGCATTGAGTATGTGAGCTCAGACCACAAACAAGTCAAGGAAGCTGTGGACAGTATAAAGTACCTTCATGAATAAAATTGGGGTCGTCGATTCCATTGGCGGCCTGAATAGCCTCAATACTCACGCCATAATGTTTCGAGATTGAGTACAAAGTGTCACCCTGTGGTCAATATCAATGTCCACGTTCCACTGAAGATCAAGAAGGAGTCGCATGGATGATGCAACTTTTAGAAAGGTCTAAGACGTTGAGAAAAGCAATTCACATTGATACGACTTTAAATAATGTTGTACGTGAACTAAAGCATTTCTAACCAATAACAAAGTTTTGAGTCGATTGTCCAGTTTTCAATCAATTCTAGTTAAACAGTTTACCTTCTTAATCTGATAAGTCCGTGGAATCCAGATCTCCTGTCCAACGCTTAAGTTGTGAGGATCTTCAATGCCATTGGCCTACAAAGGTTAAAGAGTATATTAGAAACCAACACTTCTGATCAGCTCTCTGCAAACACTTCATGGACCACACCCTTTGTAGAGCATTCACTCTACTCCACTGCCACATGATCATTGTAATAAAATGAGCTTTATGTTCCCAAGAAATCTTAAATAGAACCCTTTCTGCAGATCGTTACAAATACACGTCTAGACTTGACTGTGAAATGTACTTCTGTACGCTCTAAGAGGTTTACATTCAACATATACACCTGCTCGGTAAAGCGGAAAGCCAAAGGCATGTAGCAATCAGAATTTCCTACATTAAGAGCTTCAAGAAAATGTGTCCACAAAGGAAAGTTAAAATAACAAGAAAATATGTAGTCAATTCATTGCTGTTCTGATCAGCACCTCCATAAGAAGCTCAAGAGAACATTCGTGTCTTTCAGAGATAGCGTACAATGTATCGCCTTTCTCAACCGTGTACAAGAGGTCGCCTTTAGGCTGCTCACAAACAATCCCACACCCTAAGTCGGTCAGTCCAGTTCGGAGCTTTTATAACATTAAAAATACGTTTCAGTGTCAAAATTGCATTTGTTCATTCTAATATCACTATCACTATATCATCATATACTCAATACGCCCACATATTGTGACACCTCTTTAAGTGGGTAGGAAGGTGACGAAAAAGAAAAAAGAAAAGAAAAGAAAGAACCCCGAAATCAGATACCAGGCTCTTCTCCTTCTGTAGTCTCTTGTGGTCCTGAAATAGGCCGTCCTTGAAATTCTGGAAAAATCTGAAGGGGTTGGGTCTGCCACCATACCAAGCCACTCAGCACTAAGTAACCTAACAAACGATTGCATGAATTTCAAGAAGCAAATAAATAATAAGCAAGATGCTTAAAAGAAACGCACAATTTGTAGAAACTGTGTTCCTTAAATGGCATTTGGTCATTTACCATGTAGGAGGATCACAGAACCGTTCATGCAATAAGAAACTGCTGAAAACTTACCCGCCATTACCACCACGTTCATTCTGCCTCTCAGGTTCTCGACCTTCAGCCATTTCTCGAGCCTCCTTTGGATTCAGCGGTAACCTCGAGCTCCGCACGACCGTTCTATACGACCTCTGCTTCAATGCATGTCATGTGTCACCAAGTAAAGACCAATGAACAGAAGACAAGATAAACTCAAAAGTGCGAGTTCAACAAATTCAAACCCAAACCCTTACAGAGTCTATCAACTTTCTGAACATAGTCGAAGCAATCGCAGCAAATTCTAATAAACATCACTACAAGGAGAAGAAGGAACAAAAAAATAAAAAGGGGTAGAGAAATTACTGGGCGGGAAACAAAGGGGCTTGCAGCTTGTCGCCGCAGCTGTGTAGAATCACAAAACGGAGCAGGCAGAGCAATTCCTCTGATCACAGAAGTACTTGCCAGAGAATTTAACGCCATCGGCACCTCCTTCAGCTACTTAAAAGATTGTCTATCACTACCTAATTGTTGATTTTGGAACAACAACAACAACAACAAAGCTTCGTAATCCAAAACTCACGTAAGGACTTGGCAGCTTGCCCATCAGAATCGCCCTCGTGAATAGTTCAAGCCTTATGCCACCCGCCAAGTGGTGAATAAACAACACGACACATGTCGTAAATCCACTTGTTCGAGGAATATCCTTCGACAAGCCCCAAAGCCGTAATTTCATCCAAGCCGGTCGTCAATATCACTATCGAATGTAAGCCCCTGGTACATATTCGATCACCCTTAAAGTAGACTAGATTTTCAAAGTATTTTTAAAGATCTGATTTTTTTATTTTGGCAGTTTTGGTGGAGTGCTACACCCCTACTGTTCTTCACGTTCTTGCGCACTCGGCCAATTCTGCTCGCGAAGTCAATGCTACCCTGAAATTTCGAAACAGGGCTCGCGAAGTCAGCACTGCCTCACTGCATTGTGGAAAGAGAGCTCGGAGATTAACTCATTGCTGACAATTTTGGTGATTCTGCCACTTGAATAGGTTTAGGGTTACCGTTGTGGATTCAGCAACGAAATTTTGCAATTTACAGAGGTTAGTTATGGTCTAGGACTTTTCTTTGCTTGTAAACGTTGTTCAAACTCAAGATCTGTACGTCGGAGGAACCGAATGCGGGGAAATGCCACATTTGGAGATTTCTTCTGCTTGTGTGCTCTAAATTTGTGACGGCATTTCTTTTTCATTATCCTTTTTCTGCAATGCCGATCAAAAATACAATGGTGTTAGATGCTTTTTTCTTTTCCTTTTTTCTTTGCTTGTGGTGGGGGGAAAGCAAGGTCAAGAATGGCTGTTACGATATCAGCAACTGTATTGATTGAGAGGATTTGTGAGGTTTGGGACTGTTGTCAAGCACTTGGGACGTAGCGAAATCCATGTTGTCTCACTTCCTCTTTCCCTTTACTTGTGACTGACAGCTCGAGCCCTCATGCTGAGCTTTTCTGCTCGTAAGGGTTGGTTTCCAATCTATATCTTTCAGCAGCCAGTCCGCAAACTTGTGGGCGGTGTTTGGCAAGGAGCTTCGCTGTCGTGTCTATCGCTTAAATCAGGGCCTGATATATTTCTGGCGTGTCGAAAATCCAGGACGTTATTCCAGCTTGGAAATTTGGGCCAACCTTCAAGAATTCTCTGTTCTGTAGTCGGTGAGACCTCCTTAGTGTAACCTAAAGTGATTTGATGCGCTACAGTGTAGCTGCGATGTAGGCACTTTGATTAATTAGTTTCTGGTATTCGTTGTTTTGGTAAGCTTTCCTTTTAAGTTTAAATTTCTTCACCTATTGGTCCCTAGAATTCTTAGTAATATCTGCCTTGAGTTATATTATATTACGGTGCGACTCGACTAGCATGATTTGACATTGAGTGTGCAAATGACAAGATTCGCTCAAAGGAAGGACCAGAATGGCTCACAACGGTGCGCCCCATGTAACATCAGATCAGGTAGAGTACCATATTATTCACTGACAGGTTGAAATAGGTTATCGACGTCATCTAGATGCCAGAATCTGGACTGCAAATTACTACTGTATGTTCATTTAGGAGCAAGTTTACTAGATTTACCCTGGTTTTTCAAGTTCTGGCTTCTTGTATCTTCCGTTCCATAGGAATGTGATTTTTGGAACTAAAAATTTATTGAATGAACTTGCAGGCTGAGAAGACTTTTTACTTTGGGAAGTTCAGAATCGACCCAACAGAGGTGTTTTTAGTCACACAACACTCGTACGCCTTTGTGAACCTCAAGCCTGTTGTTCCTGGTACGCAGCTAATGATATCACTATACCTTATTTACTCTTTGTGGAGTTAGTTTGTTACCCTTCTGATATTTGGCCTTTTCAAGGGAGGCAATGTGATTATATCGCCGTAAGAACCAGCTTTGTCCTTATTGGGTTTTGTTCAACACGCTTAACAGGTAATATCAGTGATGAATGGTCTATTATCGAATTGCTTGTGTAAACTCATTCTTGTGTCTAAAGCAACTTTGTTGGGGTGCAATGCTCGTGCAGGTCATATCCTTTTCACTGGAATAGGTTGATGTTTATTGATAAATCAGGACCATTCTGAAGCATTTTGAACGAGATAATGAGGTAGATTTCGTAAATTACATGGTCTCCAATCTGGCCAGGTCCAGTTTCTGAACTGCTACCACCAGTTTTCACGAGCATTTCTTGTACATATTCTTAATCTAGTGACTCGGGCTGTATGTGATATAAGCACTTCAAGAACTACCTTATACATTGCCAGGTAGACACGCAGAACACAACCATTAACGACCAATCGTAAGGATAACAATCAGCTTTCATCTTCGTCTAACAGAACTTTAAGCATGTGTGTACCTTGACGCGTCATTACATGTGTTGGTCAGTCCGAAGAGAGTAGTTCACAGATTTCTAGATCTGACTCCTGAAGAAACCTCTGACTTGTGGCTCACCGCTCAGCGAGTTGGTCAGAAGATTGAGCCTTTCTTTGAAGCATCATCTTTGACATTCGCTATCCAGGTACGCTGATTATTACCAAAAACTTCTTTTAGTATGCAATTCTGAGCCAATCGCATTGCATTTTTATTCGAACTCTGTTGGTTCCGCAGTGTCCAATTCAGCTATATTCGGTTTCAGCTAATCTTGTTGCTGTTGGTCGTGAAGCCTTTGTTTTTACAATGTTCAAGCATCTAATGACCTTCTGCGACTTCTCTCAAGTTGGAGTTTTGAAAAACATTCACCATTTCACGTGTATTTTGATTCCAGGATGGTGCACAGGCTGGACAAACTGTATCGCATGTACATGTTCACATTCTTCCTAGAAGGGTTGGAGACTTTGAGAACAACGATGAGGTGTATGATGTGGTAAGATTCAGACTATATTTCGCCTTTCATCTGCTCCTCTTCTAAAATCAGACTTCAGTATTTATTTCGTACAGCTGGGCCCCTCATTGTTTTGTGTACCCACTAGAGCTACTGAGGATGAGATCAGGTTAATACGGATGCAGCTCCAATCGTGAACTTAAGACTAAACAGTAGTTTTCGACTAGTATGGAAACTAGCAAAATTCCAGTTTGACCCGTCGTCTGCATTCGGTCCACTCATCCTGATCATGTTGGTGTAAACATCATAGCTTGATGAAAAGGAGAAGCAGCTCGCAGAGAAGTTAGATTTGGATAAGGAGCGCAAGGATCGAACCTTTGAGGAAATGGCAGCTGAAGCTGCTGAGTTGCGAGCCCTTTTCTAGATCTTCTCTGTTTCTTAGGTAATAAGTATTTCAATATCATTCTTACATTGGACTTTGCATTGCACCATGTTCTTTTACATTATTTTCATATTCAATGTTTTTTAGGTTTGACCTCTAACATATGGTAGTAAAACGTGCGTCATTTCAATCGTTTCCTTCGGGAAGAGAGCTGAAGGTGCCGAGCAGATGTGCGAAGGCGTTTAGTGTGACTATCTGCAGCTTGGTGCTGTTGGTTGATTCTTCCTTTTAGCAGAGCTTACGATACCTCATGTGTTAGTAATGTGGATTTTGTGGTTTTCTGCTTCAGCGTTTGTTTGAACCTTGCAGGTATGAAGTTGAGCAACTTACCTGGTTGGAAAGTTCATGGAGCATATTCTTGAAACTTGTAGCTGACAAGTTCTTCATTCTTTTTTCGACACATTTCATAGTTTTTGGAAGTTATCAAAATATTCACAATGCAGCATTGAGAGTAGTTGACGTGACTCAAGCTAGTTCCCACTTGCCGTGCTGAATTCCATCTAAGACATCTATTCTGTCTTGACTATGATATAATTCTTGGTGAGCTTTTGCAGATTGGGTTATTAAATTACTTTGGTAGCATTTGTTCTGCAAATCTTAGCGGTCGTTTAAGTGGATGCAACGAAGTGAAACTGCATTGATTTTGACCATTGCAGAAGTGGTACAGCCAAACATGTGTGTCTTTTAGTTTTTTGTTCTTGTAGTTGCCTGTCAGTGTGCAATGAATATATATTTGTGGTGACAAAATATGATTGGTTGTAGGAATTAGCATTTGCACAAGTTCAGGTAGGAGAGGTACTAGGTATTGTATCTGATTTCTGTTTTATTTTAATTTTTAACTTTCCTACGCGATAGTTTTAGATTAAATTTGGAAATAACCCTCTGAAACCCGACATGACATCTCTGAAATAGTCACTTTGTATACCTACCTAAAACTATGTTGTCAAGATTTGTTTAATATTGATAAAAATATATTGATTACGAAAATAACCATTATGGAAAACGTAAATACAATCTACTAGACTGATATCATGAATGTATGGTTTCTATTCTAAACCTTACAGTTACTCATGTAGGAAATGAAAATATTTTTTTAAATTCGATTTGCCTGTTGCAGATATTTTAAGTAAAAAGTGATGTCAAAGAAAATAAAGTTTTTCACGGAATAGTTAGTGTAATCTGTTCAATGACTTCATAAACACTTGGTTACGGTTTTTTTTTAAATAAAACATCTGACTGAAACCACCACATCCAAAACATTTGAGAATATAAATACAGAAAATTCATCAACAGTTGCAAAATAAACATTATCAATTTTCAGAAGTTGTAACACACTAATCTTTATTTTTAACTTTTTTATGAATAAAAAGTTGAAGATAATGTTATAAGAAAAAATGGTGGAATATTTACAAAACCTTGAATATTTTTGGTATATAAACAAAGTAGATAAAACTAACTCATGAAAAGTCAAAAAAGAAAGTAAATTAATTTGATGTTTTTTTGAATTAATTGACTCTCACAATGGGGGGTTTTTTTCTACTTCACGTTAGCCTTTTGCTTCTTTCCCTCTCTCTTTTTCTTTTCAAAGAGAGCCGGAGGTGACTCTCATTTAACTCCAAACTCATCTTTATATTTTAACAATTGTCTCTTTGTACATTCAACATCAAATAGTTAACATTCTACTTATGTATGGGTATTTCATAATTGCAAGTACTTCCACAGTCATAAATATAAATGAAATGTTTTTTTTACATCGAGCAAAAACCTAGCAAACAACTTTTTTCAATAAATTTTTAATGCAAGTGCTAAGCTTAGCTTCTTTTATTTAATTTTTTTTCTTCAGAAAAATAAATATATAGAATACTAAAAATACTAATCCTACTAATAATAATCATAATAATAATAATAATAACATTCTCCAGGCTCACAGACATGTATTGAATATTTTTGACTGCGGTTAAAACACAACCATCTACTTTTACTTTTGCGTTTGTTCCCCAGGTTCCCAATGGTCTCCAGACGGCGTCCCAGACGAGGCGAGGATATTACGTAGGTGCCAAACCCTAAAATAAACCCCTTTCTTCTTCATCATCATCTTCTTCCCTCTCAGTCGCTGTTGATGTTGCAGAAGCTCTCTTAGCAAGGAGAGAGAGGTTGTGTGTCCCGCACACCCCCAGTCTCCCTTTTCTCTCGATCTCTCTCTCTCTCTCTCTCTCTCGCTTATCTTGCACCATGCAGAACGAGGAGGGTGACAATGTGGATCTCTACATCCCCAGGAAGTGGTGCGTATAAGACCATCTTCTCTCATTATCTTTCTTTTGTTGGAAATATCCTGCTCCATCATTTCCTCCGATGGACTAAACCCTAGATTTCATTTCATCCTTGATGCGTATGGGTATCGTTGTTTATCATCGTTCCGTTCATAGTCAGTCGGCCGCTTTGCTTTAGCAGTTTTTAGTTTTGGGATTCTGCGGGTGGCGTCTATCTGGTTTTGTTGTAATTACTCCTTGTTGTCGGTTTCTTATCGTGAGGAAAAAATCTTACCTGGTTTTTTCTTCCGTTTGCATTTCCTATTGCAGTTCTTCCACCAACAGGTTGATCACTTCGAAGGATGTTGCTTCAGTTCAGTTGAATGTGGGCCATGTCGACGAGAACGGTGTTTACACCGGGCAGTTTACCACCTTCGCCTTGTGCGGGTTTGTTCGTGCTCAGGTTCGTAGATATGATGGGCTTATTTTATTTAGTTATCAATTGTTGTTCTATCCGTCATTCTTTGTCAGAAAGACAGGGCGGAGTGTTGGTGTTTGTGGATGGTAGAAGGTCGGAAGAGTGTCTAGAGTAGCATCATGTTATGGAGTGGTTCTCCTGGAGAGAGTATGTACTTGATCACGATGTAATGCAATTGTTTGTGAGGGTATCGGCCCTTTAGTTGGTATGAGGTGGGGTTCTAGGTTACGCGCCTCTTTTCTGAATTGTATCTGCTTCGGTGTTGCTACCACAGTAGACCATGCGAAAGATTAATTTGATATGAGTTTTCTCATGCAGGGAGATGCCGACAGTGCATTTGACCGGTTGTGGGCAAAGAAGAAGGCCGAGCTTGGGCAGTAGATGGAAACATATTTCTTCTGATGCTGTTAGAGTTTTATGGATAACGTCTCATAGTTTTCCTTTATCGGGGTGAGCTGTTTTCTATGTTGAGATTTTAATTCCGAGAAAGATTTTATATATATTCCGGTATATGATTCACTGTGTATGCCTTCTTTTGATTGTATTCTACTGCAGTAAGTTGAAAACCAACCTGCAGAGCATTACTTGATATACCTACACATGTAAGTGTTGCACCTGCGGGGTCAAAGTCTGACTCAATGCTGCCTCTCCTTTTGCCTTCGAAGTGTACCCAGAAACCACCTGAATTTGTTAATAGTTAGACCTGTAGCCATCTTTGTCTATATTTTAGAGACATCCTTCGAATCCGAGTCTACATTGCTAACCTTTTAGACAGTAGCGGGGACCATACAAGCAAGCAGTCGTACTTTCTGTGATATTGATAAATGTGCCGAGGAGGTTTTTGTTGCAGCGTTAGTATCACGGTGTAACGCGTATAGCGCTCTTATTTTCTAGATGAGTTGTACTGTGCTACACAGCCGGGTTTACAGATTGAAGGAGTTCAATACCGTTCATGCAGCTCCCTCAAAGTAGTTTCGAACTGTGCTTGCGGATTATTGGTATGTGTTGGCCTCGTTGCCGATAACAAATTCCTCGGGTTTGCTAGGCTTCGGCATGTCGCAGTAAAGCTCTAACGAACTCATCTAGATATACGTTAATCTGCCAAAGTATTCACGAATGGGAAGGTGTACTTAACAGGTTGTTAATGGCCTAGGTTATAACAAAGTTTAAGAAGTTTCTCCATGGTGCCTTGATAAGTATCCCACAGTGTATTAAGATGTGAATCTATATTTCCGAGTTTAGAAGTTTTTTCTAAAGTTGATGGTTCACAACTAATTCATTATTAATTGTTATTAGAGAAAGGTGTATTGTTTTCATTGAAGTTGAAAAGAAAAAATCATATTTATTTGGTGTAATAGAGTTCTAATTAGCAAGTTATGTGGATGGCTCCATTAGTATTAAAGAAAAGAACCATTGTCGTTGTTGAGATCATTAAATGTAGCTGGCGCTCTCTATAATATTTACTATAGATTACAGTACATACCATAGCTACAGTATTTAGAGTCTAGTGGAGAAGTATTGTTTATTCTCTCCCTTTTTCTCTTTTTATATATGAGATACAGTCAGATCAATAGAATTTTATGTGTGAAGCTCTTTCTTTCTTTAGAAATCCTCTTGTGTGTATGACTTATTATTACTCTTGTGTGTGTATTACTTACTATTACTCTTGTGTCTTTCTAAACATTCTCAACACGTTATTAGCACGACTTTCTTCTACACACTATCATAATTTTTTTTTGCTCTAGTCTTGACTTTTCTTGCTGCTCTTGCTCAGTGTCTTGCTCTTGTTGTTCTTCTTGCTCGCCCCTCATACATTAGCTACTTGCTTAGAGCACTTGTTCCACTCTCTACTTTGCTTGTTTAGAATATTTGATCTAGCCCAGCTTCTCCTTGCTCTTGGTGCGCCCCGTGCTTACCGCTAAACAGTCGTCGAACTGCTACCCTACCGCTGTTGACCCTGACGTTGTCCCCCACCCTATTGTCACTACTACTACTACCCACTGTTGCCACCCTATCGTCACTGTCATCCGCCGCTGCTAGCTGCCATTGTCTTACTGTTGTTGCCTTAATCCACAATTTCTCCTCATATATATATATATATATATATATATATTTTTCAAGTTCAAGTTTATCATTTTATTTGACTTTATATTTTAAAATACGTTTTACTCAACTTTCTACTTGATTTTGTATTTTTTTTATAGATTTATTTATAATGAGTGCTTTAACATCTTCAATTGCTTCTACTATGGTTCCAACTATTACTAGTGCATTCCAACATTTTCAAGCTCTTTTATTTCCACCATTGACTGTGGATGGAAACAATTATCTATTATGGGCAAAAATGACAGAAGCAAATTTACTTGCAGAACAACTCTCAGATGCCATTATGTTTGAAGAATCTCATACAATAAGTATTTCTATTCATCTTGCCATTCATTGGAAAGCACTTCTTCTCCTTCGTCATCTTGTACCTACATTATAACATCAATACTCGGAAATGGAAGATCCTGCAGAACTTTGGAAGGATCTTAAATCCCAGTTTGATCATTAAAAGACCATTTTCCTTCCACAGGCACGTCATAATTAGACCCATTTACGTGTCTTGGATTTTCCAAATTTAAATGCTTTCAATAGTGAAATGTATAATATTGTCTCAGAATTACGATTATGTGGACAAAGCATCTCTAAAGAAGAAATGATCGAGAAAACTCTCTCTACATTTCTTCCTGTATCTGCTGTGCTTGCACAATAATATAGGAACATGAAATTTTAGAGTCATTCTGATCTCATGTCCTATCTACTTCTTGCAAAGAAGCAAAATGAGCTACTCTTGCGTAATGCGAAAGCTCGTCCTATTGGAAATACAGTTCCAGAATCTCATGCACTTAATATTTCAAAATCTAAGAAAAAATTATATAAACATGGGAAACATGCTTATAAGTATCAGGGTAGTCATAGTCATGACCATTTCTATCCATATGGAAAGAATAAACGTTCTACTATTAATTATAGTAGAAAACAAAAATCAAAGATGCGTTCTTGCCATAAGTGTGGAATGATTGAACATTTAGCATATACGTGCCATACTTCAGAATATTTTATTAAAATATTCCAAGAAAATAAGAAACTACGAGTTGAGGCTCGTGAAGTTCATACCATGGATGCGTCCATGGATTCAATTGGTGTTGATGACTTAAAGGCTTATATGAATGACAAAACTTTTAATGATGAATCAAATGATGCATTCATTGATTCTGCAACAACACATACTATCTTGCGAGATAGATAATTTTTCATTGAAAAATCTTCAACTTGGCAAACTAAAAATATGATGACCATGGCTAGAACAAATGCGTTTTGTTTCCAAGAGGGCATAGCGATGGTAAAATTACCTGGGGGTTCCATCATAAAATATAAACATGCGATGTTTGCACCCTCAGCATCTCGGAGTCTGATCAGCTATCGAGATGTACGTATTAATGGTTATGACCTCTTGACTGCCATTTTAAATAGAAAAGAGGTTTTGATTCTTGCAAAGAACCATAAAGTTTTTGAAAAAGCTTTTGCTACAGAAAATGTTTTATACCGAATTGTGATTCGACCTCCCATTATATTTAATTTTGCATCATCTATCATAGAGAGTCGTGTTTTTCTTTGGCATGGATGATTGGGACATCCAAGATCCATATTATTTAAAAATATTATTCCATGTATAATTGGACATAATTTAAAGCAAGGGGATGTAGACTCTATAGAATTATGTCGTACATGTGTGCAAGATAAAATGATTACTCGACCTTCAATTTTGAAACTTCCATAAGAATTACCACCAATACTTGAAAGATTGCATGGTGTCACGGACACAGAAATACAGATTCAAGATCTAACAAGAAATTCAAGAAGAACTAGTAAGAACTAGATTAATCAGATGAGAATAACACCAGAGAGGTGAGCTACAGCTCTAAGAGATGTATTGTCGAGACTGAAGAACTCTTCAGCCTCGATTCCAATATATACTTCTATTTAGGAAGCTTCTCAAGCAACTTCTACCAACTAGGAAGCTTCTAGAAGGTTCCAAAGACTTGCTTCTAAAAGGTTCTAGAAACTTATCTCTAGAAGGTTCTAAGGACTATGTCCCTAATATCTTCTATCAACTAAGAAGCTTCTAGAAGCTTCTAGAGACTTGCTTCTAGAAGATTCTAGAAACTTGTCTCTAAAAAGTTCTAAGGATTATGTCCCTAACATCACCCCCTCCTTTAGCTTCGAGGTCTCTGAGAAGCAATGTTATTGATCAGTACCAACGCAAGAAAATGAAGATCTGTCGCATAACGTCTGCTATGAACTCCAATTGTTGTTCACGAGGCAAGTGGTTCATCGGTCCTTGAAGCCAATGGTAGTGGCCTACTCCTTCAACTTCTGACCAAGCATGAACTTCCGTTGTCGTGTTGTAACACGAGTATACTAAGAAAATATAAAAGAAGAGAACTTTTATTAATGTTCAGTTACCTCGAATATTGGGAGCAACAACCATATCCAGTGCAAATACTGAGAGGCTAGGTTCAGTCACCCCGTTACAGTCAGCCGGGGCATACTAAAATGCTCCGTTTGATTCCAATAACGGGAGTCAGCAGGAAGAGAAAGGACCAATTCACATGACGGGTGAGCCTGGTTCGAAGAACCAATTGGATCCAATATGAGACTTGAATTGGTCGATCAACCCAATGCAGTCTAATTACGGGAAATCTAGGTCTTACTACAGGCCTCAGCCAATCTGACGCAAAGGACCAATTTGATCTAATTACGGAAACATCCGAGTCTTACTACTCGACTCTTATCCAATATGAGACCTGAATTGGTTGGGCGACTCAACGTGGTCCCGATTACGGGGTTTTGATTCTGTTTCAAGCTGTCCTGTTCTCTGTGTCGTTTCAGGGAATGTTGTTTTCGGTAAAAGGATCTCTTAAAGGTAAAAACGGAGGAAAAAGCTCTGACGGCGAGAGCCAATTCCGGATCCAAGATGGAAGATTGAAGAGATTCAGAGGCTAGGATTTGAAAGAGGGAAGAATTAGGGTTAAAGGGGAGGAAGATTAAGAAATGAGGGGGGTTTTTTTCAGATGGGGTTTTTTTGGATCGAAGAGCTAGCTTCAAGCTCTTTTCAAGGTCACTAGGTTGGTTTCATTAGGGTTTGTGAGGGGAGAGCAATCGCTGCTCAAGGTCACTAGGTTGGTTTCATTAGGGTTTGTGAGGGGAGAGCAATCGCTGCTCAAAGTCAGTGTTTATTTTGGTGTTTCGGATTTTATATAAAACATTGATGGTTTGCATTCTCAATCGATTTGTGCAAGTCGTGTAGCATCTATGGATCAAAATTTGGTATTGTCTGGATAGTTGGGTGTGCTAAGTGTATACAAAAATTTGTGTTAATCTAACAATGCAATTAAGAGATATCTGGGTTTTAGTACAAAGGGTTGTCGGAAGTTGGCAGTCTAGGGTTGGATAGGATTTCTGTGATATTTGAAGATCTACTAGTTGGATCGACGTAATTTTTGGCTTGGTAATAGAAGATTTGGAGATCAAGCGGCTATTCAA